TTTAACTACTCTGTGGCACCTTATCAAGTGGATTTATTTGCAGAAGCAGCAGTGGTATTAACTGATACTCAAATTGTCTGAGAGTCAATATAGTTAACAATTTTTTAACATAAAAATGTAAGTACTTCCTTTGAAGTGTAAAAGAAGTTTTTATAAAGGTGGGTTTTTTTTCCATGTCCAGTGTTTATATCCTTATTTACTGTCCTTAAGTCACATGAAACTCAAAATAATATACACTTTACCTAATTAAAATGGAAAATGAGTTTTTAGTGGTCCTGATCATAGAGAATGGTTATAATTTTTAGTTTTACAAAATTAGGTTCTAGCTTAGAAATCTTTTCTAGAATAATAATTATAGCATACAAAAGTGTTTCTTCTCGAAAAGTTTTAACTTTTATGATATATTTGCTTCCTATCTAAAATAGGAAGCAAAAAATGGATGATAAAGTAACCCTAGAATAGCACAAAAAGTTAATATCTATTTGATGCCTAAGAAGTATCTTTATGCCCAGAAAAGTAAATTACTAAGTAGATAGGCACAAAGAAAAAGTCAAAAGCAAGAGATTCCTAGTCACTGAAAATGTTTGTCAGTTTATAATAAAGTAATACCTATTAAATTAGTTAAGGAAATAAAACACCATGATTTAGATGAAAAGTTATGGTCTAATTCTGCTTTCTGAACCAAGGAAAAATAACAGTAATAGACACTGCCTTTCACTTTATTAGTCTCTAGATTTCTAATTCACCTAACTGTAAACTCATAGACTAAGTCTATGTTTTGCCGCCTCTTAAATGTAAATATTGAGTTTTTATTCAACCTGATTAAAGTATACTTTAATATTACTTTTAATATTATTTTTAGCTATTAGAAAAAGGATTGTCCAGTATGCAGCAGTCATTACTACAGATTATTTATAGTCTATTGAGTCATATTGACCTGTCTGCAGCCCCAGCCAAGCAGTTTAATCTGGAGATCATAAAGATTATTGGCAAATACGTACAGGTGAGTGACCACAAAACTTACATATAACATTGTTCATCTCAAAATGATTTATAATCACACAATATTGGAAATGCCTTAAGTGTTGAAGAATAGGGAAGTGGTTCAACCATAAATAATGTTTTCAGGATATTTGTAGTATGCAAAATGTTCTCAATATAAGTGACAAAAACCAGAATCTGAATTAGTATGATTTCTAGTTTTCATATTAACAATTTCTATAATGTTCTGTAATGACTGGAAGGAATGCATATTCACATTACAGCAGTCAAAACTCTGGCAATTAGGACTGTGACTCATTGGTTGTTCTTGTTTTTGTTTTGAGATGGAGTCTTGCTCTGTTGCGCAGGCTGGAGTGCAGTGGCGCAGTCTTGGCTCACTGCAGCCTTTGCCTCCTGGATTCAAGCGAGTCTCCTGCCTCAGCTTCCCAAGTAGCTGGGATTACAGGCGTGTACCACCACACCCAGCTAATTTTTGTATTTTTAGTAGAGATAGGCTTCGCCATGTTGGCCAGGCTGGTCTCGAACTCCTGACCTCAGGTAATCTGCCCACCTCAGCCTCCCAAAGTGCTGGGATTACAGGCATGAGCCACTGCACCTGGCCTCATTGTTCTTTCTTTCTTCACACCTTTCTGTTTTAACGAGATTCTACATAGTAGGCATACACTACTTTTAGAAACAGAAAACCTCCTTGAAGAGTTTGCATTTTAAAGATTTTTTTGTGTGTCTGATAAAAAGTGCCAGATATTTAAAAAGTGGAAAATTAAACTTGATTTAAATGTAAATGATGACAAGTCGGCCTGGTCTTCACTGAATTTCACCTTTGAAATTCAGTTAAGCTGTCAGTTTGAGCTAGCAGTTAAGAAAGTCATTGCTGAGCAGATCAGTAGGATGGATACAACTCACCAAAGAGAACAAGCTCACTAACAACCTTAATAGATTAATATGTTGTGTTTATACTCCAGTTATGTTTGCATTCACTAGAGCAAAACTTAGAATGGGATATACTTAGCTGGCAAGGAATTTATTCTAGTTCATATCTGAAAGCAATAAAACTGTATTAAAATGTTTTCAGTGATTCAGTTATGTAATCCAGATTACCTCTAACATTCCCTTGAAAATCAGTGATGGCCGATATCCAAAAAACGGAAGATTTTCTGGTGGCCCTGTTTATCTTGTGGCTTACCCTTCAATGAGTGAGGCTTTACCAGATAGCAATTATATCTCTTTCTAAAGCAGATTTCTTTTCTTCTTAAACCTTAAAGAAAAAAACTTATAAAATATTTGCTATATTTCACATAGAAACATATACCACATTGAATTTACTACCTTATGAACCATAGGTACATTTATTATGTTCAGAACCACAAGCTCAACTTGCCAGTGGTCAAGCAGGTAACCAGAAGGAGCATAGATTTGTGGCTAAGTGAACTGCACTCTCTCCATCTCAAAGAAGCAACACAACTTAGCTTCCCCTGGTGGTTTTCATGTTAGAATATGGGTCCAGTGTGGCCAGACTTCTCATTTTAAGAGAAGCTGGAAATCTACATTTTTCTGTAAAATCTCCTGATTTTAAAATGTTGACTTAATTTTTTTTCCAGATTTCCTTGTAAATGTGTGAATCAAGATCATGTTTAGCTGATGGCTCATCACAGCGGCTGGCTTGTGCTCTATTAAACAACTGAATATTTCACAGAATTGAATTATTGATAATCTTTTACGTTTAAACACAACCAGCAATATAATTTATGAAAACATCCTAAAGTTTAGCATTTCATGATGCCCAGAGATAGTAATTATTTCTGTCAGAAAAAAGTGATCATTATTTCTACTTGGTCATGATTATGTTAAATATAAACTTTTTTTTATTTTTGTTATGTTTTTTTTTTTGAGATGGAGTCTCACTCTGTTGCCCAGGCTAAAGTGCCGAGGTGTGATCTTGGCTCACTCCAACCTCCGCCTCCTGGGTTCAAGGATTGTCCTGCCTTAGCTTCCCAAGTAGCTGGAATTAGAGGCACATGCCACCATGCCTAGCTGATTTTTGTATTTTTAGGGGAGATGGGGTTTTACCACATTGGCCAGGCCGGTCTCAAACTCTTGACCTCAAGTGATCTGCCGCATTGACCTCCCAAAGTACTGGGATTACAGGTGTGAGCCACTGCTTCTGGCCTTTAAACTACTTTTTACAGTGCTGTTCTTAAAATGTCACAGTATCATGTAGACCTTTTTATTATCAAGTATTTTGTGTTTTAGGTGTCTTCATAGCAAGATGTTACGAACTCAGTTGGATAGCCCAGTTCTGCCAGAGATTTTTCACTTCCTTTTTTTGGTGTCTTAATGGTTATTTTTCTTTCCTCAGATATCAGCTGTGAAAGAATATGTATAATATAATACAAGGTTGAGATGTGATTTTTGGTACCCTAAATAAGAAGTAGTTTTTTCTATGTATCCTTTTCAGTGGGTGGTAAAAGAAAGATACCATAAATTCTTTATCAACATTGACTCTTCTCTACATGTACATCTATCTCATAGATCATCCCTAGATTTTATTGGTGGGAATATACAAAACTAAGTCAAGCAGAAAAATTTTTTTTAAATAGCCAAAATTGTAGGGAAAAAAAAACCTCACCCTACACAACTCAGTAATCCCTGAGAACATCACTTTAGCATGGTATCTACTGTCAGTATTTGGGGCCTGGGCCATCAAGAAAAAAAGTCTTAACTGTATTTTAGTATTTTAATATTTTTATGTCTAAAAAGGAAGGTATTTGTTAAAAAATTTTTATCTGCAAAGTCTTAAAATACTTAAATTTTAGAGTCTCAAAGCTATAAACTTCATTCACCTAAAAGTTGATGTATATACAAATCTTTTGTTTACTACTACTGCCAAGTTACTATATTAGTCTGTCCAAATTAATGATAACTACATAGCACTTATTGGGAGAAAAGCAAGATATTTCTGTTGGGTAGCATTATTACACGTATGGTATCTGATAAATCTAACAGTACAAATAATAACTTGTGTTTTCTTTCCTTTTGTAACTCAGACCTTTCATTAAGGATCTTAAAAATGAGTAATTTTTACAAGCATTTTTGTAGAAATAATATTTTCATGGTGTACAGTAAATTGTTATTAGTTGAATGTGCATTTGTAACTTTTATGTGTCAATTATTTTTTAAACCAGAGTCCTTACTGGAAGGAAGCCCTTAACATATTAAAGCTGGTGGTGTCACGCTCTGCGAGTCTTGTCGTACCCAGTGATATCCCCAAGACCTATGGAGGAGATACAGGTTCTCCTGAAATATCCTTCACTAAAATTTTTAATAATGTTTCTAAGGAGTTGCCTGGGAAGACCTTGGATTTTCATTTTGATATATCTGAGGTAAGATGCTTAGAAATTGATGAAGGTACTCTACTAGGAATTTTCTTTTATTTATTCATTCTTTCATTTAACAAACATTGATTGAGCTCATACCCAGTGTTAGACAATATGATAGCTGTTATGAACAACAAAGTGGGGTTTGGGGGAAGGCCTACTGTTAGAAAGCTTACTGTCTGTTAGGGAAACAGACTGTATATTCCCCATCTAAAAGAAACGTCACAACTTAGCTTCCCAACAGTGTTTAGCTTAACAACTAAACATTGTGATCAACATTCGGCTGGAATAAATTAAAAGTGCTCGGGGAATATGTAGCATCCATCTAAAGGAGTGGTTTCAGAAAGGAGTCAACATCTGAGCTGAATGTTGAAAGACAAGTAATCCTAGACAGGCACCTATGGCAGTTTGGGGAGGGTAGGTTAAATGCAAAGAAGTGGAGAATGTGTGAATGAAGGCTTGTAAGTATGAGAAAGAGTGGTGTTCTGGACACTTCCAAGTATTACAGCATACCTTGGTCACAGAGTTCAAAAAAATGCAACTAGAGTGTGATGAGAGATGAGGCTGAAGGCATAGGAAGGGGCAAGCTCATGGGGATCTTGCATTTCATAGTAACAAGCTGGTTTTATCTAAACCAGCGGGAGCTCTTAAAGGATTTTTAGTTGGCGTATTAGGGTTTGTGTTTTAGGAGGATCACTCTAGCCATAGCATAGAAAATAGAGCAGGGAGGAGGAGAGGACAGTTGGTAAGGAATCTGTTAGAAGAATTTGGGCAAAAGATAATGTGGGACTGTCCCAAGACAATTGCAGGGACAATGAAGAAGGAAGAGAGATGGTTTACAAAAAGACCAAGGAAGTAACTGATGGGATTTAATGGGAAAGTGGGGAAGAGGTATCAAGGATTTGATGAATGGCCTTGACAGGTAGATGAATGTTGCACCATTCAAGAGAGTGGAATTGCAGGAACAGATCTTATAGCAAGGAAGGAGAGGGCAATGAGTTCCGTCTTGGACATGTTGACTCAGAAGTGACCCAGAAACATACTAAAGGAGGTGCCTGGTGGTCAATTAAATTTTGGGATCTGAAGTTTTAGAGGAAAACTTGGGTGGAAGTAACAAATTAAGGGTTTCAGTCTTGTGTAAGTGGATGGCTGAAACCATGGAAGGAAAACTAAAAAGAACAGAAGGCAACAACTAAAGGAAACCTGAGAAACTGGATATTTCAGGACTAGACAGAAGCAGGGGCCACCAGTCTGGAAGGAACCCTGGAGCCTGGCTATGCTGCATATTAATAAAAATCTCATTTAAAGATTTTTCATCGTTGCTGAGAGTCCCAATTTTTTTTCCTTCTGACACCTGAGCCCACTCTTGGTGCCTTGGTGCCATTGAAACGGTCTTTCAGAAACCAAGGGAGGAGCTTTTCAAGAAGGAAGTTATCGATCAAGTATTGTAAGGTTGAGAAAGATTAAAAATTGAAGCTCTACTTACTTTTTTGTTGATTAGAATTATATAGATAAATGTTTTATTGCAGTTTAATCTTGGCATTAGAATTTATCCTAAACTTTATTTTTTTATATAGAAAGCATATTTGTTACTAATTTTTTAGTTAATAATATCTGAGAATTTCTAGCAAGATGTATGTATAATAGCATGGGAATATGATAGAGAAGCTTGGCTTTTCTTTTCCTTCTGATTCAGAAATTGATCGTATAACTTAATTATGTTATTTGAAGCTGTGATGCAAATTCTCAAAACATTTTGTATACTTAATTTCAGTTTGTTGCATCAAAAATTCCTCAGTACCTGCCATGCATAGGCACTGGAGATATACCAGAGGTATAGAGGCAACACACATGGTCCTATGGATACATGTGTAGTAGGGAAGTCAGGCACATAAACAGTTTACAGTCAGCATGTTAACTGTCCAAGTTTGATTACACAGAGGTGGTGGTAGAAGAGAAGGCCTCCTTAGAAGTCTGGAGTCATCACTAAAAGATGATTAGAAGTTTACTTAGTGGATATTCCATGCAAAGGAGCAACATAAGCTAAAACATGGGTCTATAAAAGAGCATGGTATGTTTGGAAAACAAGAGCAAGCTCAGTTTTGCTGCTGTGTGAAGTTCAGAGAGGGGGAAGTGGTCGTATTTGAGGCTAGGGAGAAGAAGGATGATCAGTTGAGTATAAAGGGACTCGTATGACATGCAGATGAACTTGAATTTTATTTTCAAATGCAAATTTAAAACACTTTACAAAGTCAAATATAAATGAGTTTTTGATTATCATAGAATTTTTACTGAAATAAATTTTGGAAGTATTACACATCAGATTTGTAGTAAGAATCTACATGGAAATGTTCCTCTTTTGTTACTTATCTTCAGTATTTGCTAAACCACATTGCTGAGGCATACTTAACAATATGCATTGAAAAAGCACCAAAATTTAACAAATATTAAGTCTGAGTGGTAAGAAAACAGATGATTTTATATTTAAAATATAAATCTTTTTTATATTTTCTGAGTCTTGGGTATATTTTATAATCGTGATGGGGAAAGGTGGAGGTGGTGGTTTTTAAAGAATGCAGATTATATTTAAAATAGGAATAAGCTTTCTGATAACCTCAGATGTAAAATTATTATTTCTAATAAAGCCTCTTGATTAAAAATGTATATATCATTACCTTTGATCTTTGTTAACATCTACCTCATGCAAAGTAATTTCTCTCCTCATGTTGTTTTTTTGTTTGTAAAAAATATTATAGGTGCACTGTTAACCCTTTTAAGTTTCTTTTATGTTGAAATATTTGAGCCAAACACTGACATTTTGTTTCTGTGTAGACACCAATTATTGGAAACAAATACGGTGATCAGCACAGTGCAGCTGGAAGAAATGGGAAACCAAAAGTTATTGCTGTCACTAGAAGTACTTCCTCAACTTCTTCTGGTTCTAATTCTAACGCCTTGGTTCCTGTTAGTTGGAAAAGGCCACAGTTATCACAGGTACATAGAGAATATCAAAATGGAACATTCATAGAAGAATCAGTTTTGTTATATATATGAAAACTTGAGAATTTGTCTTATTTTATCAGTAGTCCTAACATTTTAATTTTTTTTTTCTTTAGCGAAGAACAAGAGAAAAGCTAATGAATGTGCTTTCTCTCTGTGGTCCAGAATCTGGCCTTCCAAAGAACCCATCAGTGAGTAATCCTGAAGGCTTGTGTCAAGGTCTTAAATATCATGTTATTCCATGAAGAACTGATCTGTCTCCTTTCTTGCCTTTTCTAATTTACCTTACTTACGGTATTAACTCAGAATGAAAAAAAGATTTCTTGTCTCTTGTGACACCTGGCAACCAACTAGTGTAGCAACTAGTGTTGCTAACTGGGTGTTCAACTAGTTAAACATGAAGACCAAATTTAAGCTCTGAATGCATTGAAGAATGAGGTCTGCAGTGGCTTTGGGGTACTGATATCTCATATGCAGAGTGACAAAGCTGATGGATGGACTTTTTTTTTTTTTTATCGTTCATCAGGTTGTATTTTCTTCTAATGAGGATTTAGAAGTCGGTGACCAACAGACTAGCCTAATTTCTACAACAGAAGACATAATTCAAGAGGAAGAAGTAGCTGTGGAAGATAATAGCAGTGAACAACAGTTTGGTGTTTTTAAGGATTTTGACTTTTTAGATGTTGAACTGGAAGATGCAGAGGTAAGGATGTGGGCTTTCTCTGTTAATATTTATAGAACAGTTGTATGAGAACTAAGGATTTGATCAGAGGATCTTATTGAGGTCAGTGTAAGGTCAAAAAGGTAAAAATCTCAATTAGGAACTAAATTTGATTACCACAATTAGTCAACAGCAGAATAAGTCTGAGATAAAAGAGAAACATTCCATTTTTCATCTTTATCTTTAAAAATATAAAATTAAAAAATGGATTTCTTCAAAATCATTTTCAGGGTATGCTTAGACTTAAATGTTTTGCATACTTTGTCTTATAAACTAATATGCAGCCAAATGGTAAAAATTTATATGAAAATTGATTGAGGACAACTTTAAAGAAAGTTGCACTTACCACTAAATTGACTATCACAAAGGGTTTGGCTTTCTAGAACTCTTCCCTTTGGCAAATGACTGAGATTCCTTCTTTGACATTCTGAATCACTTTCTTCTTTATGATGTAGGTAACTCTCTCAAATGCCTGATTTCATTTAATACTCAAAGCATTTCTCTTCTAAATTGATTGGTCTGGATTATATTATATTGGTAGTTTTGTCAATTTGGATGCTTTCTAAATGGAATTTATAACTCAAAAAGTAGATTTATTAGCCCACAAAACTAGTTCAGAATTAGAGCTTATATTTAGATATGGTTCAATGAAGTTTTTGGCTGTTTATCTGCAGTTCTCTAGGCTCTCTGCTTCTCTGCAAGTGAGCTTGACCTCAGACAGCAGCAAAACAGTCATCATTGCTGGGTAATCTTAGCCCCACAAACAGCAGTGTTTGAAGGAAGTGAGGGTCACATCCAGAAATGCTCTCAGAAAAGTAAAGAAGTTGCTTTCATAAATGCTCTTAGCAAACTTCTTGTCACATGTCATTGACCCAAGTTAGGACACATGCTACTTTCTGAAACAACCACTCTGGTAAGTAGAATAGGATTGCCCTGATTGTCTTAGGCTATTAGAGATCCATTCCTGTAGCTGAACTCAGTTCCCTAAACCACAGTCTCTTAACCCTGAAAGTTTATATCAAATAGATTTTTTTTAAAATTCTTTATTTTAAAATTGCTACAAATATCTGTATGCAAGAAGACCAAAATGCTCTAATACCAAGTATCTATGTACCATATATTGATGTATCTTTTTCTGAAGAATCAAAACTCATTCATATAGCTCAAATACATTCAGCTCTCATATACATATACATATACTACTCATATACAGCTGATACACATTCATCAACTCTCATATACATACACATATACAACTCATATACAGCTCATACACATTTATCAACTCTCATGTACATATACATATACAACTCATACAGCTCATACACATTTATCAACTCTCATGTACATATACGTATACAACTCATACACATTCATCTACTCTCATATATATATATATGTAACTCATATACAGCTCATACACATTCATCAGCTCTTCTTGTAGGGGTATTTCCTTTGGCTGTAATAGGTGAGGTGGAGGAATGAAATGTGATGCACTCTCCCATATCACACTGTTCATTGTCCATGGAAGACCAGTTTAAGGAAGTAAAGTTTCCCCTCCGCAACATGCCTCAGTACCCCCTGCAGATGTGAGGATGTGACCATGGTGCCTCTAAGTAATGCAAATGCCTTCATGTCAGCTTAGGAGCTGTGTAGGCTCCTATGGAATACTCCACCATTTACATTTTCCCAAAGACACAATTGTATAGGTTCACAGGAACTCAAGAACAAGTATTATTCAGCACCTTTCAGAGCAGTAGCCTTTAAACTTTTTTTGACACTAATCCACAGTTAATATATTTTGTATCACATTCAAGTATATATATCTTTAAAAATAAAAGTTTCAAGAATATGCATCCAAACTCACTGCTATGCATACTGATATTTTCTATTCTCTTCCTTTCCATTCTTTTTTTTTTTTTCCAAAAAGTGTATGTTACCACCCTAAAATTAGTTTCACACTCATCATTTGAAAAAATATATGGTAGGAAATAGAACAGACTTGCACAACCAAGTAACAGAGTGAATGGGTTAAAGAGACCTGCTGCCCTACCCAAGACCAGGAGCAGCTTCTAAACTCTTCTGTAGTTCTTTGCTTTTTTCAGTCCAGAATTTAGATTTCTAAAGGCAGGCTCTTGACATTTTTGTAATGGTAAGGTTATTTTTCTTTTTGTTTGCCTCTTTTTTGTTTAAAGAGAACTGTAAATGCTTTCAAGTTCAATCAGTGCTCTAAAATGTCAGTGGTAATAAATAAGGCTTTTAATAGAACCTTAGTCAGAATGAACTAAGGGTGTTCATTGTAGTTCTGTCTTTAATTCAAGTCACAGTAATCAGGGCTGGGGTGGAGCATGCTAATGTATCCCCATAATTAGGCCAAATCAGCGATACAAATTTTCTAAAACCTGGATGTAGTCTTGTTTAAAACATGGTAACAGGAAATACTTTGATTGCTACAAAACAAACTTAACCACTAATGAAAATTATAGTGAAATATCTCCTCATTTTGAAAGCCCACAGTGCATATTCGTTCACTCACCAAATATATATTGAGGGCCATTGCCATTATGTGTTTTGATACATAATAATATTTGAAATGATATGTTCTAAGGAAGGTGGTTTTCAAACTCTGACATGCAGAGCCCTAGGGCTTCCAAGATATCTTCAGAAACAGCAGGGACAGATTCAAAGACCCAATGGACACCTGTACACCTTCAACCAGAGGAGCTCTGGTTTTCTTAGTTTTGCACAATTGAATTCCATCTAAAATTTCATTTGAAATAAGTAATCTTCTGCTAAAAAAAAAAAAAAGATTTGAAAACTTCTAATCTGGACAATTCCTGTGTAAAGGCATACAGAAAAAAAAACATATTTTGCTAGCCAGCTCAATATGGTTTGTTTTATCAGGGCCTAAGAAAAATTGTAAGGATTATATCCTTACAAAAGGAGGAGCAGCTTAGAATAACAGAAACATAACTTATATAAATCCTTAAGTGGGAGAAATTGAAATTTGTCGTATTTCCTCTTGACCTTTTGAAATTGGCAACAGTTATGTTTTGTTGGCTGTGATCTTGATTTTAAATTATATTTTATAGCAAAAAATGACCATTGAATTTAGCCAGAGCCATCCTACCAACTAAAATAATTTGTGACCTTGTATGTTGTCAACTGCATGTGGGTATTTGAAGTCAGTTTTTGCATTGTACTAAGTATTAAACCTTTGTAAATCTTGAAGATTTTCTTAAAGTTTGTGTTGCCAAAGTGTATCATAGAAATGTTGTTTTAAGTGTCTGTCTCTGACTTTTTCATAGCATATTTTGCATAAAAAAAGGTTTGAATCACATGTTGACTTTCTGCACAAAGCTTAATCCAGAGCTTGAATCAGTCTTTGGGTTTGAGAAATCACAAAGAGTTTGCCCCAAAAGTGTAGTGTATATTTAAATGTTTGTCTTCGTTTTTTTCTAATTCTGTGTGTTTTCCTTTTTGCTAACCAGGAGCTGCAGGTAAGTTGCAGCCTGGTGTTGTGTATTGTTTATTTGTTGTCATCTGTGATGTATTTGTCTTCTTTGTGGTCTCATTCATGTTTGTATATTAGAATAGAAATGACTTAGATAGTAGATTTAATTGGTCCCCAGTAATACAAGATAGAAAGTCAAGAAAATTATTTAGTTAAAACAGGTTATCAACCAAATAATTTTGATCTTTTTAAATATAAATATTTGATGGTATGTTAACAGTTTAAAGAAATTGAAGGGCTGATTGAATCTCTGCTTTTAATGATGCATTAAGTATTTTTCATCTTGGTATATGTTTTTCTGGTATATTACATTTAGTACATTTAGAAGCATGTATTTAAGGTTTTAGAAATCGTGTCTTGCTTTTCCAGGGTGAAAGTATGGACAATTTCAACTGGGGAGTTCGCAGGCGCTCACTAGACAGTATTGACAAAGGGGACACTCCATCCCTCCAAGAGTACCAGTGCTCTAGTAGCACCCCCAGCCTGAACCTCACCAATCAGGAGGATACGGATGAGTCCTCAGAAGAAGAAGCGGCACTTACAGCAAGCCAGATACTCTCACGCACACAGATGGTATACAATTCACTTTTCTTACAGTGACAGTTGGTCTCATTTTCCTCTTAACTTCCAACTTCATAATGATTATTTCTTGATTTTCCAGTTTTCATTTCAGTATGGGTGAAATGCACACACTGAAATGAATCTACAAGATTGCAGCAGTAATGGAGTACCGTGTTGTTATTCGTGACAGCACTAAACTTACTAGGTTGATACTGCACACCTGTTAGCTGCTAAAACGTAATTTCTCTTGCTTCTTTCCTAATCACAGTGAGTTGTTTTAGGTCCTATTAGAGGCCTTCAGTGATAACATACTTTTGGTATCAGTTTGAGCACTAACACCGTTTAATTCACTGCCTGCTTTTCTTTCCTAGTTAGTGTAGTATGGAAAGACAGAGCACAAGTTTGGTCCCTTTCAAGAACAAGTAAACAGTGAGTGGAAAATGAAAGCTGCAAGAGTAGCCTGTTATTTCAGAAGAGTCAGGGTGCAAGAAAGCCAGGGGTAGGGTTGGAACTTGAAGATGGCACTGTAAAGAAGGAGAAGGCACATGGAATAGCTACCCTGGTACATGTAATAAGGAAGCAACCAGTGGAGACCAGGCACCAGCTATGGTTACACAGCTCTTACATGAATGCCTCCTTTTTTTATTCTTTAGGGACGGGGTCTCGCACCATCACCCAGGCTGGAGTGCAGTGGCGCAACCATAGCTCACTGCATTCTTAAACTCCCGGTCTCAAGTGATCCTCCTGCCTCAGCTTCTCAAGTAGCTAGGACTACAGGTGCACACCACATAGGCACAGCTAATTTTAAAAAATTTTTTTTAGAGATGGGGTCTTGCTATGTTGCCCAGGTTAGTCTTGAACTCCTGGCCTCAAGTGATCCTCCCGCCTCGGCCTCCCAAAGTGGCGGGATCACAGGCATGAGCCACCGCACTCAGCCACCTACCTTTAATTTAGATCCATTTGCTCCACTCGACCTGCTGGCAAAGTGCTGACAGTGATGTTGAATGGCAGGGCCTGAGCTGCTTTAGGCACAATGTCAAGTTGTCGGTTTGTGGTTGGCGTCCAGTCATCTCTCGTTTTTTTTACATCTCATTGGTGTCCCGTTTGTCTTTCCACTAACTGCCCCTCTCCCATTTAAGTGTTCAATGACCAACTGCTGCTGCTAACAGCAGCAATAATATGTTACCACTTACTGACTGTCTGCGATGCACCCGGCCCTGTTCAAGGTATTGTACGTGTATTAGTCACCATAACTCTCCTCCCAGCACAAGGCAAGTATGGTTATTGCACATCTGCAGATTACATGTCTCAGGACACATAGCTAGTAAGTAGATTTGAATCAAGCAGTCTATCTCTAGTGCCCATTCACTTAACTGTTCCACATAAAGCTTGGTCCTCCATGAATGAATTTGAATTCAGCTCTAATATGAATTTCAGCTCAAGGTTATCATAGTTACATAGAGTTCTTCCACTTTGATAGTTTTTGTGTAGCAAAATTTAGCCTGTATTAATGCGTACTTAGTTCTACCGAGGGGTTAGCTGCTTACCCTAACAACACCCATTCTGGTATAGACTGGAAGGGAAGAAAGATGATTTTTGGAATCTCAGAAACTCTTTATAACGAAGCCCCTAAAATATTTTATGATAGAGAATGTTTCTTGTGGCTTTTGTGACCATCACTCACTCATAAATGAATTCCTCATTTTACTGTTTCTCTTTTTAGTTAAACAGTGATTCTGCCACTGATGAAACAATGCCAGACCATCCTGACTTACTTCTCCAGTCTCAAGATTCCATTGGCAGCATCACAACAGAAGAAATGCTTCAAATCAGGGATGAGACCCCAACTTTGGAGGCTTCTCTAGATAATGCTAACAGCCAGCTGCCTGAGGTGGGGAGAAATGCGGGCTGGTGCATGGCCAATCTGGGCTCTTTTTAGCACTCTTTTATAGCTCCCACTTTTCTTTCAAAAGAGTTTTGAAATTGATTTGTTTCCAGTATTTCTAACCTGTTGAGTTATTTTAAATGAAATAGTCAAATCTGATTTTTTCTTAAGTTGATAGATTAAGGAAATGACCTACAGGTTAAAAATAATCTTGAATGTTTTTAACGAGCAGTTTGCATTGCAAAACGTGGTGAGGTAATGTACAGACGCTTCTATGGGGTTGGCGAGCATCATCTATTGCTCTGTATTTTCTTAGAAGGACCACTTTGGGTTTTTTTTCTCTTTCTGCTTTGTGTTGGGTTTATGTGATTGGTGCTGTGATTGGGATTAAAACCTCAGGCCCGCTGTGTTAGCAGTTGTTAAATGAAATCTTTTAAAAAGACTTTGGAACCACTAGTATTGTGTTTTTTGGAAAGGCCTGTGAGAAGTAAGCCAGATTTGAAGCTAATGACTGACCAAAAATAAGTAAGTATTAGTGTTTTTTTTTTAAGATTATTATACTTTTAAAAAAATGTAATTGCTATAGCTCTGTCATATGTGCTTTTTTTATTCCTTGGTAAATATTAGGAAATGCTATATTTTGTCACTGTCCATCAAATTAATGTAGTTATTAAATCTAATCTAGGTAACAGATCTTACTATTTTTGTAAGGTGATAAAACACTCTCATGTTCTTGTTAGGCTGACTCTTGTACATATTTCAACTTTAACAGTAACCAGACATATTTTGAAATGAAGGCATTTTGGCTTCCTTATTAGCAAGCCATCTTTAAAATGCTCATACTCATATGGCTAAGGTTTAGATAATTCAATTCAACAGATATTTATTGTGGTTTCAGTAGATGCCAGGCATTCAACTAGGTGCCAGAAAGAATAGGGCATGGATGGCCCTGTTGTCAGAGAACATTCTCTTGCTGTCTATTAAGGAAGACAGAGAAGGCTTTTAAAAAAAATTACATTTCAAGTCAGGCACTGTGGCTCACTCCTGTAATCCCAGCACTTTGGGAGGCCGAGGCGGGCAGATCACGAGGTCAGGAGATCGAGACCATCTGGCCAGCATGGTGAAACCCCATCTCTACTAAAAATACAAAAATTAGCTGGGTGTGGTGATGTGTACCTGTTGTCCCAGCTACTCGGAAGACTGAGACAGGAAAATCGCTTGAACCCAGAAGGCAGAGGTTGCAGTGAGCTGAGATGTCACCATTGCACTCCAGCCTGGCAACAGTGCGAGACTGTGTCCCAGAAAAAAAAAAAACAAACAAAAACAAAATAGAGAGATCAAGACCATCCTGGCGAACATGGTGAAACCCTGTCTTTACTAAAAATACAAAAAATTAGCTGGGCATGGTGGCGTGCACCTGTATCGCTTGAATGTGGGAGGCAGAGGTTGCAGTGAGCTGAGATCACACCACTGCACTCCAGCCTGGCGACAGAGTGAGACTCCGTCTCAAAAATTAAAAAAAAGAAAAAAAGAAATTACATTTCAGTATGGAAAATTCAATAATAGGTTCAAGGCTTTATGAAAACTGAGAGAAAACTGATCAGCTGTGCACTGGGGGTGATGGTAAGAAAGGACAGGTTTCATGGCAACTGGGACATTCCAGGCAGAGGAACACAATGTAGAAAGGGATGGCAGTGTGAAATAGCATGGTATGTCTAGCTAAAAGCAGGAAATTGAGTATTTCCAGAGAATAAAATGGGAGGAGGAAGAGGAAGAGCAATAGGAGCGATGAATGGGATCCAAGACAGGAGAAGTCCTATATGCCACACTACAGACTTAGACTTTATCTTGAGGTAATAGACAGGAGAAGTCCTGTATGCCACACTAAAGACTTAAGACTTTATCTGGAGATAACAGAAAGACATTCAAATTTTTATTATTTCAAGAGATACCTATTAAGTAACAAGCACTGTACCAGATACCAAGATGGACCCACATGGCATGTGAGCATTCATTTATGTGACCAATATCTACTGAGCCGCTACCTCGTGCTAGGCACTAGGCTAGGCATGGGGCCCATGGCAACTGTGACACAAACAAAGGCTTTTGGTTTTATGGAGCTTCATTCTAGTAGGAGAGACAGATAATAAGCAAGTAAAACAAAATATAAATAATATGTCAGAAAGTGCTTATCTTATTCATCGTACTAAAAAAGTCTTAACAGTAATGTGGACTTGAGTGAAGGAGAAAGTTAGGGGTAGCATTTAAGGTGAAACCTAAATGACAAAAACCAGTCCACCCCTTGAAGCTTTGGAGGGAGAAGGTTCCAGGCAGGGGAAGCAGCAGTTTAAAAGGCCCTGATACATCTGAAGTACAGAAAACTGGCCAATGAGGCTGGAATGCAGTGAACAAGGAGAGGGGTGGGCCAAGGTGCTGTCATGACATGTGTCACAGGCCACACAGCAGGTAACCATCGAAAAAGAACATGATCTGATTATTTCTTAAAACTTTGGCCTTTTTTGTCGAAAATGGAAAGTAGGTTCTAGTCCCTGACAAATAAAGCTTGCAGTTAGGGATAATCACAGAAGGGTTGCAGCCTCATTGTTGTTATTGAAGTCTCTAAGGCAGAGGCATTGAGGGTGGATTGGAGGAGATGAAGGAGCTAAGCTGGAAGAATATTAGCAAGAATTTAGCAGGGCCTGACTAAGGGCACAAACATGAGAAATGTTTACAGGAGAGAACTGACAGAATTTAGAGATGCATTTTAAATAGACTATATTCCTTTCAGTTGTTGGGAGGTTTATTAGTTATTAAGCCAAACTACAGTGCCTAGTTTGGATCACACCATACACCGTAACACCAGTGGATGAGAATGAAAGGAATATTTTGAAAGCATGGTATTTCATTTAGAAACAGTTCTACTGATACTAAAATTATCACCAAAAGAATGGCTATCCACAGGGAATATGACAGCCTTATATCTGTTGGATATATTGGCCTAATTTGTTTTTCTCTGTTTTGCCAAATAGTGTCAAATGACCCAAAATTGCCTCTTGTACCAAAAAAAAAAAAAAAAAGTAGAAAAGCACCAAGATACTTAAGTAAAACCATAATTATTTTTAAAGCAAATTCTTAAGACAAAGAATATAATTAATTTTAATGGGTGAAATGTTTTGTGAATTAAAGGAATAAATCCACTCCTAAAAATGTTTATTTGAATTTCTTCCCTTAAATCATTTTAATATTGGAAAGATAAAATGGAGTAGACTAAAGCATCTCTTGTCATGACAAACTTTAGAGCTGGGTGTCCCTTTCTTCTCCGTAATATGCACATGTTACACTCTGATCTCAAGAGGGGATTAAGTTCTTCACTTGTATTTACTCACAGAGGGTTTCTTTTATTATTTATGATAGCTTCGAATCCAACTCATGGATGACAAATTATTCCTTATAGGAAAGAAATCTCTGTAACAAAGCATGTGTGCATGTGTCATTGTCTAATAAGGTGAAGTACAAGAAAATTTGATTTCTCATAATCTACATATAAACAATGGAATCCATTTTATCAGCCCCAAAAGCACTTTCTTCATTACATGTAGGCATTACTAGAAAATTTCGTTGTATATTATATGATACTAACTACAGATAAAATATCATCTTGAAATTATTATTCAAGAAAAAATGACAATCCACTGCAAGTGTGAACTAATGAAAAGTGAGGGCATTGAACTAAGTTTAGGTTGAGATAACAGTATGTTCGTGTTGATGTAGAAGGAAAAATTCATGCCAATAAATATTCTAGGTATAGAAATGTCTCTAGTACTGTCACATAAATTATCTTCCCAAATAATGACAAATTTTTTTTAGAAAATTCATCTGGAAACCTTAGGGTATATTGAATATAAACTGGTGGAAGAATTAAGAAATAATTGTACTATATTATATTCAATGCTAAAGTGAAGACTCAGAGTTTGCTGCTTTCCATGCTTAACTAAATCCAGACCACTTTGTGTTTTTATGGCATATTTCTGTGCCTTTGATATCTTCTAATCACTTTCCCTGCAATACCATCCCTACCTCATATTTGTCAAAACATGCTGTTTCCTCCAAGGAGACTCACCTCAGTTGCCTCAACCAGATGTGAGCTTTCCCATCATTGAGTACCAGCACCCATTTGTATGTTGCTGATAGTATTTGCCTTACATTTACCATTACTCTGGTATATGTTATTGTCATTCACTTATTAGCCTAACCCGGTTATCAGATTATAAACTAATTGCAGTTAGGAATTATTTATACCAGAGCACTCAGCCCAGAATCTAGTCAAAATCCTTCATTTTATAGATGAGTTTTACATATGAATAAGGCCCAGGCTAGTGTAGGGTCATAGGCTCTGACTTTCTCTTACTTTTCTTATTTTGGAAGGAAATTCTATTTTTATCCATGAAAAAGAGGTAAGAAGCTACTCTACAGCTGAGAAGTAACTTAGGTCCAAATACTCAAAAGAAGCTGATCTTTATTCCTAAAACTATGACCATTAGTACTTACTTTCAAATTGATTAATAAACTAAAAACTAGTGTTGATACTATCATCATATATGCTTTGAAGGTGTTTTCATTTTTTAATAGTAGCAGCTCATTGAGCCTCTACCACTTCTGTATCACATAGCAACATTGTTTCAGTAATATTACAGTGGATAGAAAGGGCACACCACTAGTATGCTTTATAACATATTTTCGTTATTGTTTACTTCAAATTAGGAGAATATACTCTTTTTTGATAATGAGCTTGTAATAATTTTCAAAAGTATAATTATCTAAAATGTCCTAATGTCTTCTGAACTGTAGCTCAGTGATGAAACTTTATCAATACTCAAAGCCAAAATGAGGTCTTATAGTAAAGCTTCCCTAGTTGTCTAGGTTCGGCATCCTTCTGATTGGTCAGTACCTATTCCTGCTGTATGGCAGCCCCACAGGACCAGTGGGTTAATTACTTTGAGTCATCT